CAGAGCACTCTAGGGTAGAGCCTGCACGGCGCCCAGGGCCACGACAGACCGTGGCGGTGACACACGAGGCTGCGCAGTACCCTGGAGCCCAGGTGTGCCATGCCTCCTGGTGCTGAGGGCCACTTGCACGACCCGCGGCCTTTGCAGGGGCCCCTGGAAACGAAGCTCAACACTGGTGAGCGAACTGGCCCCGCAGAGCAGCCCACGCGGGTGGGAAAGGCCGGAGCAACCGGGCGAGCGGCCCACCGAAGCCCCTCGGCCGGCCTGGGTGCCCTTGCCTCAGGGGTCCCAGGCAGGGGCGGGCCTCCCCCCAGCACCCCGGGGTGGCGTCTAGGCCCCAGGCCTGTCAGCCCTACCCGCCCAGCGTCCCCCTCACAGCTCCCCCACACCCGAGAGCAGAGCTGGGGGGGCCACGCGAACCCATCGATCTACACTCCGAGCCCCCCAAGGTCTGGGCACCTGGCCTTGCCGCCTGAGGAAAGCCGCGAGAGCCCCGCGAGGCCACATGAGTGCGTCCGGCCAGGCCGCGGGGCGAGGAAAGCGGACCGACGCCGCCGCCACCGCCGCCGCCGAGGAGGGCGAGCAGGCTCCACGCCCGCCTGCGCCCCCTCGCGGGCTGCTCGACTCCTCCCCCGGGCCGGCGCCCCCCAGACCCGCGAGGTTCCCGAGGCTAGCCCTCGAAGCCGGGTCCCCCGCCCGCCCGCCCGCGCGACCTCACCTGGCCCCCGCCGCCCTCCGGGCTCGGGCTCCAGAAGCAATCGAACGTGTGAAGCCACGTGACTGGCCCGGGCTCGGAGAGCGCGCGGCCGGCACGAGGGGCCCGGCGGCTCCTCGGCTTTAAAGGAGCCGCGTCGGCGCCGCCGTCGTGGCGCGCGTCGCCGAGCGCGGCCCCGGCCCGAGGGCTCCCCGCGGCTCCCCGCGCCGCCCGCCGCGGGCCGGGGCCTCCCGCGGGCCGCCGAGGAGGCGCCCCTCGAGCGACGCGAGCGCTCGCCAGCGCGGCCGCCCGCCGCCGCCGCCGCCGCCGCCGCCGCTCCGGCTCTCACGTGCGACGGCTGCGGGAGGAGGCAGCGCTGGGGACGCCCGGGCTCCCTTCCGCGCGGCCGGCTCCCGCCTGGACATCCGTTCGAGGCCAGCGGGAGTCTGCAGAGGCGCAGCCCCGAGGCCCCAGCGGCCGCCCCCGGAGGGCCGCGGCGCCTTTAAGCCCAAAGGCCTGAGTCACGAGGAGGCTCCCTGCCCCCCCCCCACTCCGCCCCACACCGCTCCACGAGGCCCACGACAGTGGGCATGTGACCGGCGCCCCGCCCGGGACGCTCGCCCGGGAGGCGGTGGCGGCGGCGGTCGGCGGGGGGGGGGGGGGGTCCTGTGGGGCGGCGAGACAGCGCGCGGACCGTTAGCTGAGGCAGCGGGGGACGGCGGCCCCGCCCGGCCCCGGCCCCGCCCCGGCGGCTCTTACCAGAGAGAACGCCATGGGGTCCGGCGTGGCCCTGAGGGACTGACTGGCGGGCGGGCCGGCGGGGCTGTGCGGCGCGGGCCGCGCACACCCGTGGGCACTATTTTTGCAGCGAGCGGCGCGCCGCTCCGCGCCCCGGCGGCTTTATAAGGCTCGGCCGGCGGCGCGGGCCTGACGAGCCGCACCTGTGTCGGCCCCGCCCGGCCTCGCCCCCGCCCCCGCCCCCGCCCCCTGCGCTCTTCCCAGCCGTCCATCCCCGCGCTCCACCGCCCACCCTGGGCCGGGGCGGGCGGCGGGGGTGGGGGGGACACCCAGGCCGGGGGGCGGCCACCTCTACCTCTCCAGGAGCCCGGAGATCCAAGCCTGTGCACGCCCCTCACCCAGTCATCCTGGACAAGTCACTCTCCCCGCAGGGCCTCAGTTTCCCCTTACGGATTTAGCAGCCTCCGGGATGCACCTGCGGCGGGGACCGAGCGGCCTCCTTCAAGCCGAGTAACCACGCCCCTGCTTTTTTCTAGTGACCTCGCGGGTGGAAGCCCCAGGGCACCGACCCGGTCCTCCCACCCTCAGCGCCCCCCACCTGCAGCAGACACGCCCTCACTTCAGACCGACTGCAACCGCATTCGCGAGCGAGCCAGCCAGCCAGCCGGAACGGGGAGCGCAGGCGTCAGGGGATTCCGGAAAGTTCCAGAGACAGTCGTGATCCTCTTGGGATTGCAATTCCCCGGGGAAACCGCTTCCGACGCTCCCGCCAGATAGGCTAGGGCGCTTTACTGAGAAAATTCGGGGCAGGCGATCATGGGGAGCCGGGCTGTTGTTTAGAAAGGCGTCACGGGCCAGCTGGGGCTGGAGCGGACCGGAAGCCCAAGCGAGCGCAGAGGCGGAGATGGCATTCCGGGCTGGAGACCAGGGGAGGCGGAGAGGGAGGACTGCGCTGAGCGGGCCCGATCTGACTAGGACCCAGCTAATGCGTGTTGATACCACAGGAGGGAAGCCTGGGCCCAGTGTATAAACGGCTTCTATTCTGCAGCTAGCTGGAAACTAGTAAAGAATGATGAATGGAGCTCGGAAGTTGCCAGGTCTCTTTGAAGGTGTTGGTGGAGACTTAGAGGACAGATGCTGGGGTTGAAGTCTTCGGGCTCCTAGAGGTAGGAACTCAATGACAGTGAGGGCTGGCTAGTCTCCACCTTGGGGCTTTCCCCAAGAACTTGCTGAAGTTCTAAGCAGAAAGGGTGATGACCATAGGGAAACCATACCCCTAGGATCAGCCCACCCCCAAGTCCCATCTTGGCCAGCGAGCAGCATAGGCCTCATACTCCAAATCTTGTTTCTTGCTTGTCTTCTCTCCCTCTTCTGAGAGAGTGCCACACTCAGATGTCAACAACATAGGAGCTGTGAGGGTGTGTGAAGTGCTCTGAAGGCCCAGGGCACACCTGGAAGGGCTTGTCAGCCATCCATGGTGGCTTAGACCTGTAATCTCAATACCATCGAGGATGAAGCAGGAGGATTGCCTTGCATTGGAAGGCAGCTAAGAACTACAGTCTGAAGAAAGTCTGCCTCAAAAAAACAAATAAGTGGAAGGGATGGATTAGCTGATACGCACCAAATATGTCTAAAATCTCTCACATGAATTTTAAATCCAAGGTCACCATGTACCTTAGTGGCTGCCAATTTGTGATCCTTCACATCCTGACCACAAAGTTAAGCAAGATAAGAATCTGAGACTTGAAATGACACCTAAGGGCCTATGGGAATGAGTATCTGAACAAAAAGTCTAGTAACCTTCCAGGCTCCCAGCATGTAAGAAAGTAACTTTGACCGTGGATTCCTGCTGCTTAAATCACGCTCCTTAAACTTGGCCGAAGCCGTAGGAACAGTCTTTTCCAGGCACTCAACTATGTGCTTAGCATGCATCTAAGAGTTTCACTGTGTTAACTCATTTTGTAGCTGAAGAGATGTGCTCCAAGAAGTAATGTGTGCTTGGCTTCAGCTGCTTGGGAGACTGAGGCAGAAGAATTGCAAATTCAAAGCCAGTCTGGACAACTTAGTGAGCCTGTGTGCCCCCACCCTGCATGTCACTTACACCCCAGATTTGAGAGTAGAGTTGGGGCTATAATCAAGAGTGCTTGTGTAGTACGAACCAGACTCCAGGGTCAGTCCCCAGTATACCATAAAAGGCAGCAATAAGTAACTTGCTCAAGGACCCCTTGCCAACAGGAGAAAAGCAAGAACTCAAACTGTACAGTTTTCTGTTTTCATAGCCTATGAAAATACAATGTCTAGCATCTCCAGCCTCCTTTCCCTTTTTACAGTTGTTATGTATTTGTGTGTCTATATGGACACATGTGGAAGTCAGAAGACAACCTGAAGGAGTCGGTTCTCGCCTTCCACTGTGTAGGTAGGTCATGGGGCTTGAGCTCAGGTCATCAAGCTTGGTGGCAGATGCTACTTTACCTGGTGAGCCCTTTTGCCCCTGCCCCCCCCACACACACATCCTGTTTTTGAACAGGCTTTCAATATGTATGTAGCCCACACTGGCCTTGAACCTCTGATCCTCCTGCCTCAGCCTCATGAGTGCTGTGATGACAGTGTGCATCACCACGCCCAGGTTACCTTCAGCACCTTTACGTGTGTACTTCCATGTCACGTGTCAGAGCTCACTGATGGTAAGGGAAGAAGTAGGGTTCAGATTTTAGTTACAGCCTCAGGTGAGTTGTTGCTCCCAGGATGGGGTTGGGGAGTAGGGTGCATCCTTGGTGAGCCCTACAGGTTCTGCAGAAAGCACAGTCCTGACTAGAAGGCACCCACTATATACCACACAGTGTGGAAGATGATGGCAGCAGAGACATCCAACGACTTGGTCAAGTCACCACAGCTGGTCACTGGCAGAAGCGTCAGGAACGAGCAGACAACAGGAGAATTATCCATTCTCCCCGTCAACAAACATCCTTTGAGTCCAGCTATGCCTGGCACTGTCTCTGCAGTTAGATTTAAGTGTAACCGATGGGCTGTTTCCAGTTTTAAATTGCATGGCGTAGGGGGCAGGAGGGACTATAGTTTTTTATGTGCTCACATATAAAAGCACAGGGCACAGGAGGCAGAAAGCTAAAAGAATAAAGGAGGTTACTGGGGGAAAGTGATTTCCTAGTTGTAAGAGATCAGAAGAGAAAAATCATCCAGGAAATCCAGACCACAAGGGAAGAGGGACATGAAGTCTCATTCAAGTTCAAGTTTCATCCAGCTCTTCATTGAAGAAATGCTAGGGTTTTGTTGTTGTTTGTTTTGATAACAGAAAATAGATCAGTGTGGCAGGATGTCTCGGTGAGTAAAGTGGTCCTCAAAAAGCCAAATGACCTGAGCTCCATTCCCACAACCCTCAGAAAAGTGGAAGGAGAAAACCAACTACACGAAGTTGTCCTCTGACCTCCACCTGCACATTACACACACACACACACACATACACACACACACACACACACACACACACACACACACACACAGGTGTGTGCTCACAGAGAGTAATAATTTTTTTTAAATCTAGTGCATTTTTTAAAATTTTTTTTAAAAGCTAGTGGATCAACCCTGCTTTTTATCATATATAAACATAAATTTTTAATAGGTTAAATATATAAATGTGAAAAGCTGTTCTTGGAATTTTAAAGAGGAATATAGGAGGGCATCTTTATTTCATTTGTTGTTTTGATTTGTTTAAACAGGATCTCACCATATGGCCCAGGATAGTCTTGAACTGAAATTCTCTCCCCCCCCCCAAGTTCTAGGATTCTAAGTATATGCTATCAGCCTGGGGGAGAGCATTTTTATTGCCTCAGCCTGTGGACAAATTCTATAAATTAAAGACAAGAGTAAAATATGAAGGGCAGTGATAAGGTTGTCCACACTGAAGTTTAAAACTTTGTGAAGAATATTTAAAACTGGAAAAGGTGAGCTATAGACTCATATTTTCAGTGCATACCAAGGTCTTCAAAGATCTGAGATAGCCTGGATAGCTAAGAACTTCTATTCTCCACAACCCCAGTCAATTAAAACGTTCTGTGAGAAAAGTACCCCAAGATCAATAACTGTGCGTGCGCCAACGTGTGCTTATGCAGAGACCATGGGCTGACATCTGGTGTCTTCCTCCATGGCTCCACCCCCCCTTTTTAAATAAAAGATAGTCTCTTAGTGAAATTGGAGGAGGTCACTGTTTTGGATAGATTGGTTAACCCATGAGTCCCTGGGATCCTGAGATTGGATTTATATGTGAGTGCTGGGGATTCGAACTCAGGTTCTCAAGTTTGTGTACCAAGTACTTTACACAGAGCAATTTCCCAATCTGTCTGTGTCGATATTTCTTAGAGATTTGCCTCTAACCTCTATCAAAGCTGATCCGGAGGTAAAAATTAGTCTAAGTCCAGCATTCAAGTCCCACCTCAGACAAAACAGTGATAAAAACAGAAATCCTGGGGGTAGAATCCAGGGCCTCCAGGCTCTCCTGAAATCAGCAGCTCCAGCTGCTGTCTGGTGCCACAGAGCCTGGCAAATCCCCAGAGCCAGATGCAGGGCTGTCCCCTGGTACAGCTTTTGTTCTCTTCCCTAACAGGAGGGCCACACCTATTTCCCCTGGCATACTTCTGAGCAGATGGGCACTTAAGTGCCAGGGCTCCGGGATATACAACAAGGACCTAGAGTCTTGGCCGCAGAGGATCAGAAGCTTTGCCTCAACATCTCAAGCTATTTGTGCCCAAAGGCTATTCTCCACAGCACAGTCAATCACAACGTCCTGTGAGAAAAGTATCCCAAGGTAAAAAATACCAAGCTCCAGTAACAGTGCAAGCTCTTGTCCCACTTCGGGGAGAGGGGTGGTCCTAAGCCCCATTAGAATAGTAAAGGTTCTGAGAAGGCCTGTGGGAAATAGTCACTTCATTTGAATTAGTAATTCCTCCCAAACTTATTTGATCTTAATTTTTTTTTCCTGGTTGAACACATGGTGATTGAATCCCTGTTGCCCACTCAGCCTGTTTTCTCACTGGGAAAGGCATCAGGGAAGGCCAGCAGGTTTGTCCCAAGTGTGGAAACTCTAATCCTCACTATTCTGTGTCAGGTACTCAAGGTGCCACGGTGTATACTCAGGACAGAGTGTTCAGAACCTGGATTTTGTTTGTGTTTGAATCTTAAAGACTGCTTCATGCATTATATTTACATTTTTCTACATTTATTTTATGTCTGTGTGTACTGGGGGTAGGGGGCGTTGTGCCACAGCACAAGTGTGGAAATCAGAAGACAACTTGAAGGAAGTGGTCCTCCCCTCCCACCAGGTGTGTCTCAGGGATTGAACTCAGGGCGTTAGGCTTGGAAATGAGCACCTTTGTCTGCTCAGCTGACCTTGACTGATCCCGGAATCTATTTGTGAACAGGATCCCCAAGAGACTGAAGAAAGGTATCTCGAGAAGCATGACTATATATCTTCTGTTCCTTTTCCACTAAGATGGCCATTGGGTCACAGGCCAGCTGGGAGGGGAGCAAGTCTCCAGGCCCTCTATCCAGATATAATTGGTGTATTTTGAACTGCACATCTATATTTAGGGAATTCCCCACATGATAAGTCCCTTCTTCCCAAGGGGCTTATGAGGGAAACCAAGGCAAACTGCCAGCCACTAATGGGAACTTGCTTCTGCTCAGACTTAGGAAAGGACTGTGGGGAGAGGGCTGGGAATCTGGCTCAGTGGTTAAAGTGCTTGCTAGGCAAGTGGAAGGACCCCCCAAACACACATAAATACTGGATGTGTGTGGCAGCCTACCTGTAACTCCAGCCTGGGAAGGTGGAGACAGGATTCCCAGAGCGAGCTGGTTGGGGACACTAACCATATCAGTGAGCTCTGGGTGTGATTGAGAGACCCTGCTTCAGTGAGTAAGCTGGAAGAATGAGCAAGAATGATTATATCAGCTTCAGATCTCAACATACACATGCATGTACACATACACACTTACATATTATGTGTACACACAAGTGTGCCCACAAATGTGCAACACAGTCACACACACAAACATAAAGAAAAAAGACCAAGAAAAAACAACTTTTTGAGACAGAGATTATGCAGTTCAGGTTGGCTTTGGATTTGTTATGTAGCTGAAGACAACCCTGAACTTGGTCCTCCTGCCTTCACTTTGCAAGTGCTGGGATTCCAGGCCAGTGGTACCAAACCCAGCAGAAACCAAGGAATTCTTCCAGCTCCATCTACCCATGCTCAGAGATACCAACACACTCCTGCCCAGAGGTGCTCACTTCAGGTGTCAACCAGAGTCTCCCTGAGAGCCGCAAACAGCTTCCCCACAGGGCCACCAGGGTCAAACAGAGTCGCTCTTAGTAGTTCCTCCCCCAACCCCTTAGAAGGAAAGCGGAGCCAGAACCTAGGGAGAAGACATTTTATTGAGATTTTGCTACATAAATACCTACAGAAAGCTGAGGAAACGGATTGCTGAAGGAGCAGCTACTGTCTTCCTCTGCAGAGTCACTAAGGAACCCATGGGAAACGGGCGGGAGGGAGAAAGTGCCCCCACACTAGGTGGGTGGTAGGATGGAGGAAGGAGCGAGGGAGGGAAGGATAGGGGAGAGACGTGTGAGCAAATGTCCCAGGGAAGGACAGGTGAAGACCAATGAGGTCACAATGCTGAGGAGTCACTGGGTCAGAGCCTGTATCACATCCTTCACCAGCATGGTACCAATCACCATCTTCTCACTGTTGACAGTCAGCTGGGCAGGTCCAGCTGGCCGGGCATCCAGAGTCAGCAGGACCAAGCTCCCACTAGTCAGTGTCCTCCCCGCAAACCTGCGACGGGAACAGAGGAAGGGGTGGGCTCAGAACTGCCGAGGGTGACCGCTTCTAAGGGGCTCAGCCCTGGGGCTTGGGGCCCTCCTTCTCTGCCCCTCTGCTAGTACCTGTACTCATCAGATGTCCCACAGGGGACACGACCCAGGTTGGCAGTGGCAGTCACTTTCTGCACCACCGTGTGGTCACTCCGACAGGTGTCTGGCAGTGTAAGCTTCTCTGTGATCTCGTTCATGCCTGTCAGCTTTCCTAGGGGTAGAGGCCATGATGAGGGCAGAGGCTGTGGTGGACACAGGCTGGCACCTGCACCAGCTAGCTGAACATTCTCAGGTTCTCCCAGGCTCGGCAGGTCAGGATCACCCTCGTCAGCCTTCTATTTGGCCTCTCTCCTTCCTGTGAAGCTTCCCTAGTCTCTTTTTTCAGGAAGCCGACCACTTGGTATTTCTCTCACACCCTCTGTTTTTGGCCAGTACCATCATCATGCCACTGTCCATCACTGGCCATGCTCAAGTCTACCCTGTTCTGGGAACTCCTTTCTGGGAGGGAGAGCATTCCTCATGTTGGGGCCCTGCTCTCTCCCTATTCCCAGCCAAGGTCCTCCAAAAAGGATTCCAAAATCTCCCTCCAGCCGCTGCAACTGTCTTGTCCCTCTTTAGTAACCTGCTCTCCCTGAGGTTGGCATGGACTCTGGCACGCCAAATCTGGAAGTGCTTGGTCACCGCAGCCTGCGGGCACCCCTCAGCACCTTTCTGCCTTGTCATCTCTCTCTCTGCTCCCGCCCTCCCCCTTTCCCCTGTAGAAGGCAGGCTCTCCTCAAGATTCTGCCCTTGCTGCTCAGCCCCTCACCCATGCCGCCACTGCCTCTGTCAGGGTGATGTCACCCACACACTCAGCTTGTGACTCCAGCCTTCAGGTGTTTGTAAGCACCGACCCAGATATTCAATCACATCCTCACACCTCCCCACATGCGCTGCAGAATGGCCTTCCCCCAACCTAGCCAGGCTCTTCTCTTGCCTGCCTTGTTCCTTCTTGCAGACCAGGGGTTTGACAAATTTTAGACTGTAGTCCACTACCCAAATGGCTTGCAATTGTTTTGTTTTATTGCTTTTTTTAAAAACTTTATTTATGTATTTATTTATTTATTATGTATACAGTGTTCTGCCTACATGTGTCCCTGCAAGCCAGAAGAGGGCGCCATTACAGGTGGTTGTGAGCCACCATGTGGTTGCTGGGAATTGAACTCAGGTTCTCTGGAAGAGCAGCCAATGCTCTTAACCGCTGAGCCATCTCTCCCGCCCGTTTTATTGCTTTTTTAAGAAAAAAAAGCATTGGGTGAAAATTCAAGAGAAGATGAGCATTTCTTGAAACTTGAAAATTAAATAAAATTTCCCAAACTTATAAATAAAATGTTATTAGAAATATAGTCACACTCATTCATTTAAGTATCCTCTGAGGCTGTTTTATTGGAGAGCAGCAGACCTGTTAGTACAGCAGAGACCACGTGACTCTCAAAGCCTTAAACATCTGCTCTCTGACCCATCATAGTAAACAGTCACCACCTGCTCTAGGTGGAAGGGCGCTCATTTCCATGTCAAGCCTGGGATTCTAGAGTCAGACTGTGGTCCGTCTCCTCTCCCTCTCAGGGCTGCTATTTGCAGGTTCCCCTTCCCAGTCACTCTCTCTCCCATTCCAGCCCTTCATGCCTTTTGCCATGGCTGCGATCCTGCCTCGCCATCTCTCATCAGATCTATTACAATGGCTTTATCACTAGCTATAGTATTTACCCCACACCCCAAGAAATTGAGGCCAGAGCTGTGTGAAGTCCTGTGTCTCCCCTGACGTAGGACTACCCTTCTTCCCACGGCAGGCTCCTCCATTCTTAACTGTGCTATCAGGCTGTTCTTTCTGAAGCAGAGGACAGAGCCTTTCGCCTGCTTCCCTGACTCCTCTACTGCCAGAAAATGAGCCCCGGTAACTTCTGGAACCCCTTCTCATTCTGGAATCCTAGGACCAAATGCCTTTAGCATACCATTCAGGGCTCCTCAGAACTAGACAAACATTCCACTTCCAGTTTTGTTCTTAATGCTCCCTGTGATAGGGACTCCATTGTCCCAAACAGAACTGCTCCCAGCACTTTCCACCAACCTCTGCATGTACTGTGTCCCCAACTGGAGTGTGGACCTGGGCTGTGTACAAACTTTCTCACGCCTCATCACGTGCCTCAGTCTTTGTGAAGACTTGTCAGAGGCATAAGCTACAGGGCCTCTCTGTCTAAAGGACTGACGCTCCTCCCACACGTCTGTACAATCAACCACAGGGAGCACTCACCCTGCTCCTTCTTGAACTCATTCTCACTCATGAACACAGGGGCCATCAGCTCCCCAACAGGTGGCTGAATGGAGACATAGAACTGTCGGGTTTGGGTGCTGGGAAAAGCAAAGGAAACAGAAGCAGACATGAAGCCAGCGTCCACTCCCCTCATTCCCATCTTACCTTGAGGCGGGGCCTAGAGACAGAAGATGAGGTAGGACCTAGGGCCAGGAATGGCAGCCAGACCCCTAGAACTCAGTGTAGCCCCACCTACCACCCTCTCTAGCTCTGGTTCTCCCAGACCCTGCTCCCTCCAGCCCACTCTCTCACCAGTATGTGGGTTGGGTACATACCATAGCTGGAAGTTGGCTGCCTGGGTTGAATCACAGAAGTTAATGCCCATCACAGCAGTGGTGGATTCTCCGGGTGCCAGGGACTCTGGATGTACAGAAAGCAATGAGGGGAAAGGAAAGACCATGATTGTCCTGGAACCTAGTATGGCTCCAGTCTCCCTTATCAGAGCAGACTAGCCCTCTGTGGATTCCTGGCTTTCTAGGCCCCTGGAGACTGTCACTGACTTCCTTTTGAAGCCTAAGTACCTTTCCATCACCCACTCTCAAATCTGCTCCGTGACACCATGCCTTAATATGAACTTGTTTATCTCCTAATCCATCTTGTCTACCATGGTGTGGGTCATATTAGATGCCACCTCTGTCTACCCATAGCAAGGCATCTGGCTTGACCCTAAGAGGATATCAGCAACTACAGGAAGACTGAGTCTGCCTGGGGACCTCCTCCTCTACCCCGCCCAAGGCCCTCTGTACCAATTTCAGGGAATTCTTGGATGCTGATGCCAGCAGGTAGCTTGGGAGTGCCCACATGCAGCCCCTTGATGGGCGTCTCGGAGTTGTTGGAGAAGTAGATGTGCACGGACACCATGTGGGGATCCCCAGAGAAAGGCTGACGGCTGAAGGCATAGTCTACGGCCAGCCCCTCTCCAGCGACCCGGTGCAGCAGCTCCTGCCTCCCAGCGCTGGACACTGGACTCAGCAGCTGGAGGGAAGACGATGGGAGTGTAGAAGTCAGGCAGAGAATAGCCAGCCCCAACCCTGTCTCACCTAGGGCCATCCTGAAAAACTTAGATTTAATGGTATCCCAAGCGTCACGCCCATCTCCTACCACACAGGTCCACACCACAGGATGCAGCAGGAAGTTGAGTCCTTCCCCGACTCACCGAAGGCACCAGAGAGGAGTCTGTGAGTGTCAGGCCCTCCAGGTCAGCAGCCAGACTAGTGGACACAACCATGGGAGGAGACACAGGCTGGACACTAGGAGGGGTAACTGGGAGGGGAGGGCCAGAAAGAAAGGTGAGTAAGCTCAAGGAGCAAAATTCAGCACTTTGGACAGCGAGAGACACACCCTAGCCCAGGAACTAGGTTGACCCAGGACAGACACCCCAGACCTCAGGACCCTGGCCTGGAGCTCCCAGGGTGCCTCCCCCCATGCCCTCTACTACCCAAACTCACAGTCCTCTAGGTCAAGCAGGGAAATCTCCTTGGCTACAGGGGCACTCTTGCTGCTGGGAGGCTGAAAGAGCAAAGAGGGGGTGGGGCTGTGAGGAAGAGGAGCATCCTGGCCTTCTCTGGGGCGGTGGGGGACATCACAGTCTGCTCTTACTGTTTTCTTCCTCCAGGGGGCAGGCTCGGCCTGCTGCTCCTCCTCCTCCTCCGACTCTGACGTCACCTCAGACTCTGAGGAGCTGCTGCTGGACTCGCTGCCCTCCTCCGAAGATGAGCCCTCCCTGTGCCCCTCTGGCACCTCCTTCTTCTTCTTCTTCGCCTTCTTCTTCTCCCCTTCCTCCTCACTCTGGTCGCTAAAGGCGGGTGGAAGTGTGGGGCTAAAGTCCCGCCTGCACACCCTCCCTGTCTCGTAAAACAGGGGAAGCCCTGAAGAGTGGAGGTGGGAGTGGAGAGCCTGGGCCAGCCGAGCCGGCACCTGCTTCTCAGACCTGGCCCCAGAAGAGCTTTAACTTGGCTGGTGCCATCTCGGGCCCCGAGCCCCTGGTTACCTCTCTGCTACTCTCGTGGGGTCTTTAAGACCTCCCAGACTTTGGCAGCCAGGCAGAGCAACCATCACAGGAGATGGCACAGTGGGTGTGCAGGCCCCCAGCACCTCTTGGGAAGCTCAGGTCCTCCTAGGGACCTGGGTGTTTCTTTTCCGGACTAGATCCCCAGGCCTCCCCGCTTACCTCCGGCTGCCCGCTCCTTTCTCTTCGTCGTCGTCGTCATTGTCCGAGTCACTGCTGGACTCCCCAGAGTCGCTCTCACTGCTGCTCTTACTCTGGGACTCACTCTCAGACTCAGGCTCTATGGAGGAAACGTGTCAGGCCTCCCCACCACATGTGAAGCCCCCCGCCACCAGTAAGGAAGGCCCTCCCCACTGGATGGAGAGGCCTTTCCCGGTCTATGGAAGCTCCAGACTCAGAACTGAAGCTTCAACTCCATCTGACCTGCCCCAACCCTCGATGCCACCTGAGACTTCAAGAACATGGAAGGACCCACACAAAAAAGCGTCACTTGCACAGCACACACATCTGAGAATGGACACCTGGGTTCACGCAGGCTGTGACTCATAAGCTAGTGCCTATCCTTGATCTACACGCATGGAGAGCATGCTCCGTCTCACACACACAGGCATGCACATGGGCGAGACATCACAGTCTGTTCTGAATGGCAGGAAGCATTATCCCTCTGCTCACCGCTGTCTGCAGACTCGGTGGGGCCAGACTCTCCCTCGGAGTCAGAGTAGAAAGGCTTTTCTTTCTCCTTCCTCTTCTCCCGATTTGAGCACTTGGTCCATTCAGGTACCTGAAGATGTCATGAGTAGGCATCAGTTCCTCATGGTTGGAGGAGGGGGAAGGAAAGTACATGCGCTTTGCACCCATCACAACATCTCTCCTTGGTTCCCTACTCGGGCCTGACCCCAAAAGAGAAGATGGAGATGTACAGTCCACAGGGAGAGGAGTAAATGGTTCACAGTCATGACAGCACCCAGCTGTGGAGAAAAGGCCTAGGGCACAGCACACAGGGAGAGAGAAGGAGGAGAGTACACGGCACACAGAGGGGACCTCAGTGTATTCGCCCAACAGGCCCACGTGGGTCTCAATAAGGGAGAAGTCTTCTTCCTGTATGTGGGGAGGGCATCAGGAGGACCGGACAGTACTGCCAGGGCCCCCTGCTGCTGTCCCTTTCCCAACACACACAAATGCACGCGCACGCGCGCGCGTGCACACACACACACACACACACACACACACACACACACACACACACACGTGCCAAAGTTGCTGACCTCTACATTGCGCACGGATGGGTCTGGGGCTTCCTCTGGCCAGTCTGGGAGCTCCTGGTAGCCTGTAGCCTTTGCATTGAGCAGATGGGACAGTGATCCCAGTTGGAAATGGTCACGATCTGAAGACAGGTTTACAAGTTAGGCCAGTAGTGGCAGTGAACAATGCTTGAGGCAGGGGTATTTGTTTCCTGGGTGGGACTGGGTGCTGATTCTAGCGGGGATTCCCAAGCTGGGCAGGGAAACTGATGGATACACCCCTGTGACTCCTGTACCTGACTACACACAGCCAACGTGCGAGGAGAAAAAGCTTTCCAGCCAGCCCAGGACAGAGACTAAAGAATGTGGACAAAGTGCTAAGGGAGAAGGCTCCAGGGTCGGAGACGCTGCTGGCCTGGCTGCTCAGGTATCTACGGGAAGCCCAAAGTGTGAATGCGGCTCCCCTCCTGGACACAGCCAGGCCGAGAAGGCTAACATGGGACAAGGTGAAGAAGAGGCTGGCCATGGGGGAGGAGACAGGTCTGGTGGGCCTCGGTATTCACGGAAAGGGATAAGCAGTCAATCCAGGAGAGAGTTAGTGTCACAGCGGACAGATGGTGTAGGACAGTAACACAGAGACATGAATGAGATGGCTTCAGGGCTGTCCAGCATCCCAGGAGATTACATCACTGTCTTACCTCAACCTCTGAGATCCAGGAGAGGAAAAAAAAGTGCAGAAATACTAGGAAAATGGCTCTGTTCAGGAAGCATCTTTCCTGGGTAGGCCCTAGCTTTGGTTCCTAAGGCTAATGAGGCAGCTAAAGCAACCCCTGACCCCAGGTCACAACTATGAACAGAGGCAGAGAGCCTGTAGACTAGGGTGTGGGCTGATCTCAAGAGACTGCACTTAGTGTTGGCGACTGCATCCTCAGGATTGTTATAATATGCCCTCTCCTTTGCTGTTCTACTACCTGCCTTCCCTGGTCCTTGGTATTTAACATCTTAGTATAGAATCCCAAGCCCAAAGTCTGCTCAGGAGGGAGGTAGGAGAAGAGCCTAAGAAATGGGGAGAAAGCAAAAGTCCCATGTGACAGGGAGAGCAGACACTCAGGTGAGGCGGAAACAGATGTGGCTGTGGTGGAGACTGCAGGGAGAATAGTTAACCAGTTCTACACACAAGAGCTTAGTGCCTGGCTAAGGCTGTGGCCTTGGATGAAGGCCTAAGGCCTGGGCCCTGGGCCTAGCCACTTCCTGACCTCTCTCCCAGGAGGGTTACCCTGGTTCCCGCTCCCACCTTTGAAGGATGACTCCAAGATAGGGGCTGGCTTAGGGGCCAGGAAGAGTTTCTTGGCATGGCGGCTGAGGGCTCCACCCTGCTCTGAAGGAACGATGAGCTGCCGGGTGAAGCGGGCACGATCTCGGATATCATAGTTCTGGTCATACTTGGCCAGACTCAGCACGTACTGGGTCAGGAGCTTGGTCTGAGGAGAGAAGAGAGGGTGACTCAGCAGCCAACAGAGGGTGGGGACCCAGGAGACTTGGAACCAGCTTTATTCAGCCAACACATCCAAGGAGAGATCCTCTCTTGCTTATGTACGTCACCCAAGTTTCCTCCCCACCTGCCCTGGTTCCAGGCTCTACGTTTCAGCTTTCTGGCTCTGACTTCTTCCCCCAACTGTCACAACGGCCTTGGGCCAACAAATGAGGTGGCCCTCTCCTCCCTCTTGGTCCTGCATTCTATTCTTCCTCTAATTTCTGGTCCCTAGTGATCCAGGCCAGCCAACCTCTTTACTCTGGCACAACAAGGTTATTAAAGGGCCAGAACACTGTGCTCCACCTTGTGATTCCCAGGCTCCACCCACCCCCAGAGTATGAAGACAATAAGGGTGAACTAAGTAAGAGGTTCTTCGACAGAACTATCAACACACAGAGCAGATCCTGAGCAGCCTCAGGGCTCTCAGAGGTTCCGGTCTGTCCCCTAGAAGATTCTAACAAGATCAAAACAAAATGGCTCTGTCTCTGAGGTTTGTTGAGGTCATGTGGAATCCACAGTCTGCAGCTGTATCGGAGGACCAAAAGTCTCAGATACTGTCTCAATCTTGACCTAGTCCAAGCTGCCTTCACATGATGGCAGTGGTGGCCACCACCATTTATGAAGGACTTTCTGGAGCTAAGAACTGGGTCAGGTGTTCCCCACTCTCCTGTTATCTCTACAATCCTTCTGAGTGGCAGGTGTTATTGCCTCACTTCAAAGAGAAGTAGAATCAGGAAGTGGCTTCTTCAAGGTTGGGGAGCCCATAGACACTGCACCCAGGTCTGGATCAGAGGCCCATCTGTCCCCTCCCCGTCATTGCCTATGCCTTTGTGTCTCTTTCCTGTGACCAAGATCAAAACCACCAAATAGCCAACCCTAGAGTATGTCCAGGCTATAGGCAGCAGCAAGACAGAACCTAGGGATGACTCTGGGATTCTGAAGATTTGTGATGATATAATATCACATCCAACCTTAGACGTGACTATTTGCTAATCCCTGCTGGCCATCAAGTAGATATCCAGGAGGGGCAGAGATTTCCAGGTGCTGGCCCAGAATCAGAGCCACTGTTGTGGCAGACCTGCCCCATATCACTTTAGGGACCCCTGTGTCTCCTACACTATATCTTCCATGGAATCTGATGCCTCCCGCTCAACTCAGTCCCTTCCAGTACAGCACCATCCATGATTCCAGCCCCAGACTCTCCTAGTGCAATGGACTCAGAACACGAACACAGGATGCCACTGACCATCTGACCAGCAAAAATTGGTAGACACCCTTGTCAACATGTCATTAAGATGCAGCGGCACATCCATTCCCTCTTCTAGTTTAGGACAGCATCTTCTTCCATAGGCTGCACAGGTGGCTGATAACAGACCACCTCCTTCCCTTGCCTCATTCTAGAAAGAACACTTAAGGACTGGATCCATCTGTCCACAGTCCTAAGCCCATGTCAACAATCAAGATAAGGGGCCGGTCCATGCACTGCCACACTGCAAGACAGTAATAATCCACCACCTTTGCTCACTCTAAAGAGCCATTCCTCACACAATGTCCAAGCTATCCCCTAGAACCCCACCTCACCTAGCCACAATGTACTAAAATTGTAGGCTGTTATGGTTGGAGAAGTGGCTCAGAGGTTAAGAGCATTGGCTGCTTTTCCAGAGGATCTGGGTTCAATTCCCAGCACCTATATGCTAGCTCACAACCATTTCTAACTCAAGTTCCAGGGGATGTGGTGCCCTCTTCTGACTTCCATGGACTCCTGCCTGTATATGGTATGCATAAAAATATACATGCATACACATAGGCACACACATATGCACACACACATTTTATGTGCCTATACATATATAGGCACATAACATAAATACATATATTTTTTAGATTAGGCTGTTCTAGAGAACCAATGAGCCAAGTGTTAGTACCAAAAACTTCCATTGACCAAGGGGTCCAGCCACCAGGGAAGAACACTATGGAACACTCTCAATAACCTGTGTCAACATTCACGCTAACTTATACCCAAGCTGACTATTCAAAAAAAGTTAAAATACAATCTCTCCTTAATACTACATAAATTCTAGACTCTAGACTTTAACATCCATCCCTGCTTCCTAGTGTTTTAACTTGGTGTCATCCCCTTGCCTTGGTGTGATCAAGGCCTGAGACTCTGGAATGTGGTAAAGGTTATGGGAATAGAGGCCTGTCTTGCTAGTACAAAGGCTCTACAGATTTTGTCCTTCATGGCTTAGAAAAATTTAATGGCCACATATGGAAGGAACTAAAGGCAGCCTCTAAAAATTGAGAGTAGTCTATAGCTGGCGGCCAGCAAGAAGTCACAGCCTTGGCTCTATAGCCACAAGCAATGTGTGAGCTGGGACGTGAACCTGACATTGTGTGAGCTGGGACATGAACCTGACATTGCGTGAGCTGGGACGTGAACCTGTCATTGTGTGAGCTGGGACATGAACCTGTCATGAGCTGGGATGTGAACCTGACATTGTGTGAGCTGGGACATGAACCTGACATTGTGTGAACTGGGATGTGAACCTGACATTGTGTGAGCTGGGACATGAACCTGACATTGTGTGAGCTGGGACATGAACCTGACACTGTGTGAGCTGTGATATGAGCCTGTCCTCAGCATAGCCTCCAGGTGGAAACCCAGCCTTGGCCTATATGTCCAGGACAGTCTTGCATAAGACCCAACTGAGTCATACCAGGTTCTTGACCCATAAAAACTGAAAGAAAATATTTGTGTTATCTTAAGGCACTAAGTTGAGAGTAATTTATTATGAAGCTATGCAAAGCTAAAGGATTAAAATGTGACACCTCAATGCCCGTACCTAAAGGCTCTGGGAACATCTAGAAAAGATGATGGCTGGATAGAGGAATGCAGACATGTACATGTAGTTTGCAGTGATGACTATTCACAGTTCCGGCATTTGGTGGTCCTGCCTCCCTTGCTTGAGTCCCTGGGGCTAACACTAGCCACTGTGAATCAAAGAAGCCAGTGAAGAAGTCAATTGTCACCCGGGTGTGGTGGCTCACACCCGAGTGGTGGCTGTACTCAGGAGGCAGATGCAGGAGGATTTCTATGATTATGAGACCAGCCTGGTTTACAAAGTGAGTTCCAGGACAGCTAGGACTGTTACACAGGGAAACTCTGTCTTGAAAAACAAAAACAAAAAAACAAGTAGAAGAAGGAAAAAAGGAGGAAGAGAAGAAGTCAGTTGTTACCACTCTCTGACTGGCTCAAGCATATAAAACACAGTGGCCTCAGGACCCTGGCATGTCACCCTCCCCACTCCTTGAGCCTTGATCACACCCTTTGCTTGGTTTGCTTCCTTCGGGTGTTGGGAATCGAACCCAGAGGACCAGAGCTCCGTGCATGTTAAGCATGTGCTCCATCACTGAGCCTCATTTTCCCAAGTGCTCCTCCAGCCTGCTCCTTCCTCCCTTCCAAGCAAGACAGCTCACACACATTTGCTTCCCCACGCTGCTCGCTCTCTCCTGGCTGATTCCCCACAACACTGATATGCATATTGTTGCCTCTACATGTAGTTACTGCCCTCCTATCTGACTCCTGACGAGTCCTGACACTTGGTGGCCCAGCCTACCCCAACTTGGGTCCCTGGACTCATGCCAAGCACTATGAATCAGTAAAGATGCCAAGTGCTGTGATCCTGAGACTGCCATAGGATAGCAAAAGAGCCATCTTTCGGGCACACTGCAGTCTCAGGCTATAGCTCTACTGCAGACCTGATCCGTTCATCCAGATATTTTGCCTCAAAGATCTGCAAACCTTTCCTGTAAAGGGCTAGAGAGTTTTAGCTTTTATAGGCCATGCATACTGTTTCAAAGTAGTCAACTCTACCACTGTAGCACAAATACACCCATATGTAATATGTAAATGTACATGCTCCAACTGAAATATTGTAAAAACAAGCTGCAGGTCAGGTTCAGCCTGTGGGCAGCAGTTTGCCAATGCCAGTGTTGCTGAACTCTCCTCTTGTTTGGAATCTCTAGCTCCTGGAAAAGTTCTGCACATTCTGCCTTACTCTTAGAATTCACTAGCACCATCTCAGGGAATACCGGATAACCAAAGGCTCTGAGGCCCCTGATATCCAGCTTCCTTGAATCACATCCTTGACTATAGTATCTCTCATAATCCTTTACCTTTCAAAAGGGACTGGTTGCCAACACCACCCACGCTGGCACAGAGAGGCCAGACATCACCAAGTTTTGGGAAGAAGCACAGCCCATGTCCCCTGGAATACATGTGCTTCTTCCATCAATGCCCATCATTGCCAGCCCCTCCCTTAGCTCAATCAGCAGGAGCACTTTATAGCCCATGTTCCACAGATGACAGATAAGGACTCTAACATCAAGACATGAACACTCACAGCCTCATAAGAGACTCTCTTCAATGGTGACTCCACTAGAGTCTCAGGAATAGCAATGGACATTGGGGTGGCACTGGTCACTTGGCAAGACTAGTCACCTGTCTTAATATGCCTTTTCATAAGAGTCCATGCCCACTGGGGAGAGTCAAAAGAATGCTTCCTGGGGCAGCTCTTGGGGTCCAGAGAAAGCTGGTGGGGACGTCTCTCACTCCTTACCTGCTTGGAGTTGGTCAGGTAAAGCTTGGCTGCCAAGTTGATGACCTGCAGCTTCACGATGTCTTCCTCTGCTGTGAACGACTTGGCCATTTTTCTCAGGACATCAGGTGCAATCTTGGGCACATGCTCACAGTACTCTCCAATAAGCCAGAGGATGCTGGCTCGTGCCATGGGCACCTGTGGGTATGGACAGGCATCAGGACTAGAGGAAACATGTTGATGGGGTGGGATGAACAGGCAAGGAAGGGCTGCCATCTGTACTGGCCTACTGTCGTATGGGTGTCTGAGGGTGGGGGCAGAGGGTAGAATAGATTCGAAGGTGGGGCTTTCATAAACAGCACCCCCTATTCCATATGGTTTCGTTACCATGGGTAAAGCTGCCAAGCCCTAAAGTCAACCATGGCTTCCTAGATTTATTTCTGCATTGCCGTGTCAGTATTCCTGAATCTCCAGTAACGGAATTAGGGATTCAGTGCAACAGAAAAACAAAGGATTGCTCAATCAGCCATCCTTGGTGAGAGCTTTAGTGGGAAACAGAGTGGCGCCCCCAGGCCCTGGGACTGGGACCTGTCCCTAGTGCATGAGCCGGCTTTTTGGATCCTAATGTCTATGGTGAGACACTTTGCACAGCCTCGGTGCAGGGAGGAGGGGCTTGGACCTGCCTCAGCTGAATGTACCAGGCTCTGCTGACTCCCCGTGGGAGACCTTGCCTTGGAGGAGGTGGGAATGGGGGGTGGGTTGGGGTGGGAGGAGGGAGGACAGGGGAATCTGTGGTTGATATGTAAAATGAATAGAAAATCTCTTAATTAAAAAAAAAGAAAGAAAAGAAAATAGAGTGGCGGTGAATGCTGAAGAGCTCTATAAGGGAGCCCCGTAGGGACAATCTTGGACAACAAGGTCCCACAGTCCAATCGCTCTCCTTCTACCTGAAGAACTTCCGATGCCCATTTGGAAGTTGGTTTGGAAGAAGTTAAAGCATTCGGTTACAGGGTTTGAAAGTCATGGACAGGGCTAGAAAGACGGCTCAGAAGTTAAGAGCACTTGATGATCTTACAGAGGACCCAAGTTCAGTTCCCAACCTGTAACTCGAGCTCCAGGGAATCTGAAGCCTCTGGCCTCTGCAGGCACTGGCACTCACATGCACATACCCATCACACACACACACACACACACACACACACACACACACACACACACACACACAATTTAAAGCAAAATAAATCTTTAAAAAGAAGTCATGGGGACAATGTTGGGGCAGGCTGGGAACACGAAGCTGCTCGCTCCCTCACCTGGATGTTGTCTGTGAGCTTTGCCAAGTGTTTGATGATCTCTCCGTGCTGCGCGGGCTGCATCTGCAGCAGCTTCTTAATGACTACCACCGACTCTGCGACCACAAGCTCTAGGGAATGAGAATGAGAACCTGAGGCCCAGAACAGTCGGATGGCCACACCAAGGTGGACAGGCACACCTGCAACGCCCTTGGTCGACCTCTTCCTCAGCCCCCCCTGCACTTCTCAAACAGCCCTTCAGTTACAGTAACACCTAGACACTAACTGAAGCAGATGTACATTGTAACTAGACCCAGAAAGGGATACCCACTGGCCAGCAGGGTCAGACATGCAGGCACGCATACACCATCAAGGTTGAACACTTCTCCAGGCAAACACTGACCATCACGGTTGGACAGAAGCTGCACCAAGCCATTGAGGCAGGTGTCACGGACCCGGCCTATGTTTGTTGCACATCGTCCAATGGCCTGGATCGTGGCTGCCACAAAGTCTTTGTCCATGCTGCGAATGTAGGTCTGTGGGACATCACGACATAGGAACATCCAGTAAGTAGCAACCTCACAGTGAAGGGCTTGAGGGCGACCTTTAAGTAAACTAAGAATGGGACCCCCCTTGTTTTATAATTCATCATGCCAGAGATTAAGTCTTGGGAGACGATGGCATCTCCAAAACACATGGAGGGAGTTCTCAGCACAAAGCCAACAGAAGGCACTGAAAGGGGGACCTAAGGCAACAGTTTCTACAGTTTGGGGCTCTTGCTGAAGATGAGACCCATCAGGCCAATTCTCACTGGGTATAAGGACCTGCTGGGCATCTCTCCTGGGGGCTAGGGCTGGAGGCGAGCCCATGGCTTGTACCTGGAATTCCCGTAGGACAGTGGGGATGTTGGTCTCATTAGCCAGGTTGGTCAGCACTTCCAGCTGCAGGGAGAGGTAGAGAGACAGGAAGTGGCCAGTGTGGCCGGCGGATTTTCTGGGCTTTTATTGTATAGACTTTATAGACTAGAAAGCAATACTCAGGACAGTTCTGCACATGCTTAGAGTGATGCGGAAGTGCACGATCATAAACCTTCTTCAAAACACAAGAGGATCAATTTGCCTCCTCAGGAAAGTCCCCGACAAAGAACAGGTGAAGTAGGGTTATGTCCCCTCCTTCCTCCGGAGAAAGCTATTCCTTTAAGGAGAGAAGCCAGGGATGATCTGCAAGTCTCTGAATAATCTGACCACTCTCCTGCTTCCTGCCTCGGAGTCTTTGCAAGCGCTGTTTCATTTGTATGGAGTTCTTCCCATTTCTGACCCTGCATTTACTTCGGTAATTCCCATTCATTTACCACGTCTCAGTTTGGACTCCATCTTATCAAGGAAAGCTTCCTCGATCCAAACGATGGTGGCACTATTCTAATTTTTAATTATTTTCTGCCTATGTTGTTTTGTCTAGGCACCATGTACATGCAGTGCCTGCAGAGGCCAGAAGAGGACATTGGAGTCCGTGAAATTGGAGTTACAGGTGGTCATGAGCCATCATGTGGGTGCTAGGAATGGAACCCTTGTCCTCTGGAAGAGCAGCCAGTGCTCTTAACAGTTGAGACACCCCTCCAGCCCTGATGCCTCCTATTTATATCTCTCTGCACCTGTCTCTCTTGACATATTTCATAGATGGATTTTTACAACTGTCTTGTGATTAGCTGCTTAATGCTTCTTCCTGCCCCCAATAAGCTCAATAAAAACACAGTCTCTGACTCATTTGCTTCACCTTGAACCCCCGGATCTATACCTGTTTGTTTTGTTTTGAGACAGTATCTCAAGCAGCCCAAGTTGGCCTTGACCGTGATATGTGGCCAAGAATGATCCTGAACTCTTGATTCTTCTGCTTCTACCACTGGAGTGATAGGATTACAGGCATGTTCTACCGCATCCTGTTTATGGGGTACTGGGGATCAAACCCAGGGCCTTGTGCATACTAGGCAAACTCTCTCCCCAGACCTCTTGAGTCCCTAGATCTAGTAAGAGAGGAAGCAGCAGGTGTGCCAGCAAGATAGGAAAGTTAGCTATGACATCACTCAATGATGAAGCAAGAGAATGGGAAAGGGTGGAAGTGCAGCTCTCAACACTATTCCTGTTGGTGCACGTGTGCCAGCAAGTCTGAGGGGTGGGTATGTGAGAGACAGAAAACTGAGTGCGAAAACAAGCATGACCCTTCATGCAGCAGACTTTGATGACTCCACAGTAGTAACATCACTTCCTGGAGTCTACACTTTTTTAAATATAAAATGGAAGCAAAACATACTTTGGGGGGCGATTATGAAAACTGAGTTATTCTGGGAAGTGTCTGGGGCATACCAAGCAGTTGTGTCTTAGTTTCCTCCAAGATTGAAACATTTCATCCTGCAGGAAGCTCCTTAAGCAGGAAGGTTAAACAACTCACAATAGCTTCAAGAAGATCCTGAAACTGACAAGATTCACTAGACCCCTCCCTACCAGCATAAACAATACAAGCCGAGAGTCTCTCTCAGTCTAAGAGAAGCCACCAAGAGCAGAGAAGCTAAGCTGCAAAGTAGAATCTCAGCCAATCCCAGCTGCAAAGACTCTTGAGACCAGCCCAGCTGCTTGGAAGAGGGGTAGACCAGAGTCACTTGGAAAGGACACTCCAACCTGTTGACACTCCAGCCTTCAAGCTGTGCAGTGTGCTGCAGGTTTCCCAGCTTTTGTGAGCTGTCACTTACGCTGGGGTAGACCCTGGTGATACAGCTGTCTTAAGTCAATTGTGCTCCTGTGAGTCCTCACCCCCCACCCCATACTTCTATAAGTCACCCCAGTAAAACTCACTGGTTCACCCAGTTGGACTTCGGTGGTACCTGTACTTTGATTTGCTGTGGGGTCCCTATCTGGGATGAGTAGACATGTGCTGCATCTCCCCAGAAAAAGTTTTGTCCCAGACAAGCCAGAGGCAGTTCCCCACCACCTGGGGCAGTTCCCCACCACCTGGGGCAGTTTCCCACCACCTGAGCAAATGCCTGCAGCCTAGAGAGGTGCTCAGCTCCAGAAAGAGGCAGGCACCGATGCAGCCAGTTAATCCAGCAGGTATTCAACCAGGTGAGCAGGAATCCAAGGCAATGCACTGTCCTGCACTCACCTTCAGGATCTTGATCTGGGTGGGATCCGTGGACCTAATGTAGAAGCTCTTCAGGTAGGGTTCAAACATACCCTGGCAAGAGAGAGGATTCCTGGGGATCTCCACCACAGCCCTAGATTTGCCCTTCCAGAGACACCTGCTCCTCCCAGCACAGGTCCAATGTCCCTTAAGCCTCAACATGCTCATCCTTGCCCCAAGTTCTCAGTCCACCTTAGGTCTGACATTGTTTCTCACTGGACACCCCACCATCACCCCCGTGGCCCCTTCAGGATCTAGACCCTGTTCCCGTTTGCGTTTGTGGTTTTGAAAACCTATAGCCCGCACACAAGGTAACTCCCCTGTCCTCCATGCTCTCACCCCCTGCCCCAACAACTCCCACAGAGCCCACGGCATCCAGGGCGGGCCCTGAATGCATGCTCACCCGGCGCTTGATAGACATGGTGGCCACATTCTGGAGCACTACGTACTGCACCTCACTGTGGAGAGGATGGGTCAGAGGGTTCAGAACCCCTCAGTTGAGGGGAAGGGGCGGTGGGTCGGGGAAGACAGATTGGCCAAAGAGTTGGGAGGAAGGAACTGTTGGGAGGAGCGGGCTCGGGCTCGGAGGGGGCGGGGCTTCCCGCACCTGTGGCTGCGCAGCAGGCGTACCAGCGCCTTGGCGATGACGCCCACCTCCGCCTTGGGCGCCAGGTGGAAGTAAAGCTGCGCCACGGCCATGACCACCGCGGCGCTGCGGCTCTGCAGCAAGGGCTTGGTGTTGCGCAGCAGCAGCCGGTGATCCGGGTCCATTACATAGGGCTTCCGAGCAGGCAGCGCCGCGGTGGCCGCCTCCTCCGATCCAGGGCCTTTGGCCTCGTCCTCCTCGGAGCCATAGAAGGCCTTCTCGGGGTTCTCCTCCAGCAACGACTCCTGGAGGGGACACGGCCCGGTCTGTGGGCGCCTTCCCTGAGTGACCTCCCTCCCCTCCGCCGGACTGGAGCCTCGAGCTCACGTTCTGCGTGGGACTCAAGAACTGTGTGCGCGCATAGCGCGTGAGCATGCTGATGATCACCACCTGGCCCCACTCCTCCACATCAATGAGTAGGTTGCAGAGCTTCCGGTAGTTTTTGTGAATCAGGTCAATACGCTCCGGACAGACCTCCTCAAAGGCCATCACCACACTGCCCGCCACCAGCTGGGGAAGCAAGGCAAGAGGATGTGAATGGGAAGGGCAGAGGAACTTGAACCGGCATCTGTCTGTTCTCTTCCCACCACTTGTCCTGTCTTCCCACAATGCACCCACCGTGGTCTTGTCCGCCAAAAGCTTCTCAATGACTTCTATCAGCTGGTCCTTCTGATCCGAGTCCAAACTGAGGGAGAAACAGTTGCAGGGAAAATGTCGCTTCCTGTCCCAAGGCTCCCCAACAGCTGCCCCAGCCAGACTCACTTTGGGCACACATGCCCACGCATCAAGAGATGGGAGCCCCCACTTTTGCCCTGTATTTGTCAGATCCCTAAACTGTCTTACTCCAGTCGAGTAAGGCCTGCAAGACCGTGGTAAGGTCAGGGGTCAGCTGGGGACTTAGGAAACCAGGCCCCTGAGGATAAAGGGGAAAGGTGGGGCACACACCTGTAAAGTTTAGGGATCGCATGAGCAGCTGTTTTCCGAACGTAGGGTGACATGTCTGAGGCAGCTTCCTTGATGGCTAGCATCATGATGGGCACTATGATGGGCACACGGATGCTAGAGAGGACGCGGAGGGCACTGGCACGGATCAGCTGGTTGGGATCCTAAGGACAGAAGTGAAGACAAAGGCCTGAGAGGCCATTGGGTCCCCTAATGGGAAGACCAGACACTATTCCTGGCTGCTACCTCCACCAGAATTGTTTCCCTGCCTTTGTGGCCGAGAGTAGCTTGTGTCAGGAACCTTGGTGTCCTGTAACAGTTTCCTGTGAGATTGTAGCATTCCATCCTGCCGAGAAGCTCCTCCGTGTCTTCAAAAAGATCCTGAAACTAACCATATCCACCAGACCCCTCCCTACCAGCATAAACAACACAAGCTGAGAGTCCCTCTCAGTCTAAGAGAAGCCGCCAAGAGCAGAGGAGCTAAGCTGCAAAGTAGAATCTCAGCCAAGTCAAGCTGCCTGGAAGAAGCAGAAACCAGCCCAGCTGCCTGGAAGAGGTGGAGACCAGAGTCACTTGGAAAGGAAACCCCAACCTGTTGACACTCCAGCCTTCAAGCTGTGCGTGTGCTGCAGGTTTCTCAGCTTTGGGAACTGACATCCACCCTGGGGTGAACCCTGGTGATACAGCTTCTTAAGTCATTTCTGCTCCTGTAAGTAACCTCTCACCCATACTCCTGTAGGTAACCCCAGTAAAACTCACTGGTTCACCCAGTTGGACTTGGGTGGTGTCCATACTTTGGTCTGTTGTGGACTCCCTATCTGGAGTGAACACATGTGTGTGTTGCCTCTCACCAGGAAAGGTTTTGCCAAACAACACATGGGAGCACCACCTCTTGCCTCTGGTTCGAAACCCGAGCCAGAAACAAGTGTGGCAGGGAGCAGTTTTGTTGCTGAAAGCATAGAATACTTCAGCACTCTTTCTAAGGAGTCAGTCTATGCCTGCCGTACTGGCCAGGAAATGCAGTCTGCTCTCTTCCACAGTTCACCTTGCCACACCTCTCCCTAGTAGCCTATCAAAAGTTGCCCTTCTTCTCCAATATTTAAAACCCACAAGTAGGCCTCTGTTCAGAGGGCATCCATACACCCCTGCTAACAGCATGCACTCTCCTGCTACAATCTCAGAGTTTAGCACTATATTCCAACTGTGGCAATAAACCAGCAGTTCTCAACCGTGGGTCACAATCCCTTTGTGGGGTCAAATGACCCACGGGGGTCACCCATCAGATATCCTGCATAGCAAATATTTACATTATGAATCATAACAGTAGCAAAATTATGGTTATGAAGTAGCAGTGTAAATAATTTTTTATGGTCGGGGTCAGCACAACATGAGGACCTGTATTAAAGGGTCGCAGCATTGGGAAGGTTGAGAACCACGGCTGTAAACAGACACTAATCCTGCAGAATGGTGACAATACGCGTGCTGGGACAATAAAGGAAGACAGATGTTTCCCTGATTTCTCTGCTGGAGAAGGAGAGCCACAAAACCAGATGTGTAAATGATGGTAATCCCTGGCAAAATTTTGGAATTGATTTTTAGTGGTGTCATTTCAAAGCATTTATTTAAAAAGCAGGAGCCTGTATTTTCTTAGACAAATTGTATCACATCAACCACTAAAATCTGACCTGCTGATGACCCCGGCTTAGACTCCTAGCAATAGTGGATACATAGCCTGAACTGGCCATCTCCTGTGACCAGATTGGTGCCTAGCCCAACTGTCATCAGAGAGGCTTCATCCAGCAACTGATGGAAACATATGCAGACCCACAGTCAAGCATTAGGTGGAGTCTGGGGAGTTCTGCAGAAGATGGGGAGGAAGGATTATAGGAGCCAGAGAGATCAAGGACACCATAAGAAAACTCACAGAATCAACTCACCTGGGCTCATAGGGGCTCACAGAGACTGAATCAACAACCAGGGAGCCTGCATGGGACTGACCCAGGCACTCTGCATAAATGTTAGAGTTGTGTAGCTTGGTCCTCTTGTGGGACTCCTAACAGTGGGAGCAGGGGCTGTCTATGACTCTTTTACTGGCTTTTGGGACCCAATTCCTCATACTGGGTCACCTTGCCCAGCCTTAATACAAGGGGAGGTACTTAGGCTTACTGCAACTTGATATGCCATGCTTTGCTGATATCCATGGGAGGCCTGCCCCTTTCTGAATAGAAATGGAGGAGTGGATGTGGGAGAGGCAGGGGAGAGGTTGTGGGGAGGGGATGGGAGGAGAGGAGGGAGGAAAAATAAATGAATAAATAAATTTATTTTTTAAAAAACTGACCTGCTTTACTTCTACCATTTTTTCTTTTGAAAACAATCATAGGAACAAAAACCATCAGTTTTCATTTGAGGAGAGGTAATTAGGCTGGTGGGTATTAGCACTGTGGCTCTTGATTTCAGCAACGCATTCTGGGAGTCTCCCATAACACTTCTGCATTGCCACCCTCGATGCGGGCCTTTGGCTTCACAGAATCATGTGAGCATTTTAGGAGCAGAAGTTGGGCCTAATTCATCTCTGTGTCATCATAGCCCTTTTCACATGAAGGGTGTTAATTTTTTTCTCCTTGCTTTCAGGCTCTTCCAAAGTAAGACAGAAAACCTGGCTGACTCTACAGTTCTCTGGGTCCGTAACCCAATAAAGCCTAGCTGGGGAAGGTTTATTAACAAAACATTGACAGCCTGGAAACACTGTATGCCACACACTCCACGCTGATGCCCTGGCTCAAATAACCTCTCGCTTTTAACACAACGGCAGACAATTCAGAGCCTTGCACAGGGTGTGTGGGGGTGTGTGCGTGAAGTCCCAGTTACCACAGAAGCCGAGGCAGGACTGAATGGTTGATGCCACCCTGGGCAACTTGGCAAAACTGTGTCCTAAAATTAATAAAAATAAGGGCTGAGGATGAGTCCGATATTATTGTATACATCTATAGCCTGAACACTCAGGAGACTGAAGGAGAATTGTGAGTTACAGGCTAGCTTGTACTACATAGTAAGTTTCAGCAAGGCCCTGTCTCAAAACACCATAATGAAAAGGGTGTGGTGTATGTGTGTGTGGTGTGTATGGTGGGGGGGGGGGTATGTGGGGTGTGTGTGTGTGTAGCACAGTGGCAGAATGCTTGTCTAGCAAGTTTGAGGACCTCGGCTCAATCTCCAGCTCTGTACTGGATCCTGGATTAGAGATTTTGTAAAACTAATTAAATAAAACATAGTGTTTCCCAGGTGATCCCAGAGGTCACCCATAGAGACAGAATGGCAGAAGTCTAGATTATCTGTTTGCCAACCACAGGGTTGAAAGAGAAGTGTGCTGAACAGAAAAAGAAAAGAAAAACAAATAGAAACATGGCTTCAGGTTAGCTGATAAAAAGAGAAACTTGGACATACACAATGCCCCAAGACAGGCCCCAAACTCAGTAATCAAAACAAGAAAACTTCATTTATATTATGAGATCATTTACAAGACAGTATTCCATCATTTAGGAATGATGCATAACTAAGCAGCAAAGAATAAACAGATGGCCAGTGAGGTGCTCAGAGGGTTAAAGCGTTTCCCACCACACCTGATTCCCTTGAGTTTGATCCCTGGGATCCACAGGGTGGAAGGGGGTCTCTGACGCCCACACGTGCTTACACACACAAGAAGTAAATGAAGAAATATGATTTTTAAAAAGAATAAATATAGACTAATGAAAAGTAAGGGAGATACACAGGAGGCTTGGGCTCTGTGCTTGTTTGGGTACAGCGTGACATTCATTAGGCCTTTCATGAACATGGAATTTTCTTTTGTGGTTCTGGTGACTGAACCCAGGTTCTTGCCTATAAGAATTTTTTAAGAATTATAGCTACAAGCTGACTGTGGTGGTGCAGGCCTTTAATCCCAGCACTCGGGAGGCAGAGGCTAGCAGATATCTGTGAGTTTGAGGCCAGCTTGGTCTACAGAGCGAGATCCAGGACAGCCAGAGCTGTTTCACAGAAAAACCCTGTCTTGAAAAACAAAGAACAGACAAACAAAAAAAGAATTATAGCTGCAGAAGTTTCATTGAAATATAATAGTTAAGAAACAAGCTCAAGAGCCATGTGCAATTGTCTTAAGATAGGGTAAGGGATGCCTCGTGGCTTTATGAAGAAGTGTGGTCCCTATTACTGGAGATGTGTCAGGATGTTGGACAGCAAAGCTTGCTAGGCCACAGGCCTCAGGACAGTTCTATTAGCTGCTTTGTTTTTTGAGACAGGGTTTCTCTGTGTAACATTCCAGGCTGTCCAGGAACTCACTCTGTAGACCAGGCTAGCCTCGAACTCACTGAGATCCACCTGCCTCTGACTCCTAAATGTTGGGATTAAAGGCGATTACCACCATCGACCGGTTTTAAAATAAGAATTTATTGAAATATAACTATGTCCATTTTTTAAACACAAAATCTAGTAATTGCATGGTTGAGACACTACAGCCTATAAGACCTGAATATATTTGAATATTTTATAGTTTGCTGACAACTGTTCTAGAGTTTTGTTTTCTTTTTTGTTTTTGTTTTTTAATTTTTGCATTGATTTGGAACAATGAACCCAGGTTTTCTTAAGTGGGGGAATGGGGACACAGATTGTACATAGTATAAGAAAATTCGCCGGGCGGTGGTGGCGCACGCCTTTAATCCCAGCACTCGGGAGGCAGAGCCAGGCGGATCTCTGTGAGTTCGAGGCCAGTCTGGGCTACCAAGTGAGTTCCAGGAAAGGCGCAAAGCTACACAGAGAAACCCTGTCTCGAAAAACCAAAAAAAAAAAAAAAAAAAAAAAAAGAAAATTCAAATTTTGTGCTACATTTTCAGAATACCTTTTAAAAAATAATCTAACCGTGTTTCAAACAAAAGATTACTTGCCAATCTGAGATGGAGCCCATAGTTTTGACTTGTAAGGCCAGTCTAGTATTTGTATGATATAAAGACAGTCAAACTAGACTGGGCCAATGGTGGTGCACACCTTTAATCCCAGCTCTCAGGAGGCAGAGACAGGTGGATCTCTGTGAGTTTGAGGCCAGCCCTGGTCCACAGAGGGAGTTCTAAGACAGCCAAGGCTACACAGAGAAACTCCATCTTGAAAAAAAAAAAAGAAGAAAAGAAAAAAGAAAGACACTCAAGATATTACTAATTAACATATATACGAGTAACCATGCTTCCTACCCGGCCCTAAGAACAGACTGCCACCCCTTCTGCCAGCCCAGCAGACTAAACTGGAGCTGAGCCCCAGAGGACAGCAGTCATTCTTAGCCTGTCCAGCAACCTACAGAATTGTTGGACTATGAAAAGGATGAATTTTACCTCTAGAACCTGCTATGGAATAATCCTCTGGTACACTGTAAAGATTTGTCCCTCAAACTGGTTTAATAATATGCTGATTGGCTGGTAGCCAGGCAGGAAGTATAGGCGGGATGACCAAACTAAGGATGATGGGAAGAAGGGCAGAATCAGAGGAGGTCATCAGCAGATGCAGAAGGAACAAGATGGGCATGTCATGATGAGAGAAGGCACCAAGCCACGTGGCAAAGCATAGAGAGGAAATATGGGTTAATTTAAATGTAAGAGTTAGCTAGTAACAAGCCTGATGTTGGCCAAACATTTATAATTTATATTAAGTCTCCAAGTCAGTTATTTGGGAAGCAACTGCTAGTTATTTGGGAGAAGGCAGTCAGGACAGAAAAACACCTTCATATGGCGCCCAAACATTTGGCAAGATTTCCACATAAAACCTGAGAAAGTTTTTTTGTTTTGTTTTTGTTTTTGTTTTTTAAAAAAAGGATTCTAAACACACAAAAGAACAGAGTCAAGCATGGCTTCTTGGTGGCAGTAGGGAGCCAAGTGGAAGGAGCCAGCCACCAGCATGCCATGATCTAAGTTACACACCAGTTAAATTTGCTCATGCAGACAGAAGAGGACAACAGATATGCAATAAAAACAGATTCAGACAGAAAAAAAGCCTCTGATTGGGTTACAGTGTGTTTAAAAATATACATAGGCTTGGGAGACAAAAGAGAAAGATTATATACAGTCTTAGATTTAAAAAATATAGTTTTAAAATAATAAAATTATTAAAACAGGGAGTAAAGCAATATAAAAGGAAAAAGCCCCATAACTATGAATAATACACAGAGAGTTTGGATCCTGTATGTTATTGTGTTGCCTTTGAATTTTTTGACTGCTAAGAGACACTGGGTTAAAACTGCCAGATTAAACCAACCTATATCTTTTTAAAAATATCTTGACTTCAAAACTTAAGTCAAAAGATGTGTTGCTTTGGGGGAAAGGTTACGCTTTTATTTCCACAGGAAATGAGAGGCTGTGGATTCATTCTGGGTTAAAGAGAATCAGGTTTGATCGAGGAAGACCCCCTGAAATCCTGACTGCAGACATAAAAAAATAAACCTAGAAGAACTACAAGACACGTGATGTATATTTTACCTGCTCAAACAAAACATAACAAAAAATCACCTTTGGCTGACTTGTGCTCAATCTATAGTTATATTAATACAGATATGTATGTTACTTTTAAGAGTTTATGTATTTTTAGAGCAAGGGGACCAGGCACCAATAAAAACAGCCCAGGTGATCCAGCATCCAAAACAACTTTGAGGCTGCTGACTGCTATGATCCAGCTTCACAGAATACTCCAGCCAAGACCTAACAATTATCCTGATTTTCTCAAGGGTCCCCTAAAGATGTCAGTGCCCCACAGACAACAGGAAGTAGTCTACAGAACTATAGCCACATTCCCAAAAATGGGTTATAGATGTTTATTATCATTTAAGGGGGGTTGGTTACAAGTTGTTATTGGTAATGGTCAGGAACAAACAAAGGAGATTAGATTCAGGGATCTTGTTCTAAAAAGAAAGGGGGGGATATACAAATAATAGGATAAAAGGGTAGATTATTGAATCTACTTTAATCCAAAACAACTATTAATCTTAAATATTATACATTGGTATGGATTTTGGTTTATTGATACAAATTATTTATTTTTATATTGATTCAAATTTAAAGTTAATTTTGTTATACTATATTTATACTCTTGTTTAAGGTATTGTGTTTATGCAGCTAATTAAAAAAAGTAATGTATAATTAAGAAATACAGATTAATAGTCATCTATAGTGGTCAAATTTATAGTCATGTTAGATATGTTTTCAAGGTCATACACAGATATTTAGATATATTTAGATATATAGATGGTCTTCAAACAATTCAAAGACCTGCAAAATATAATGTTTAATATGTTTAATAACCTAAGGTTTTTCATAACAGTGAGTCATGTCTGCTCCTGGCAGCACCAGTCTACTTCAGAGAAGATTATGAGTGTTAAAGAAATTCAGTTTTATGGAGTTTATTTTCTTTATGGGAAAAGAAACTGACCTTGCCTCAGTTGCTGACAATATACTGTCCAAACTGAACCAGCAGGACACAAGAAAGGCAACTGCTGAATTTTGCCAAGACAAAGTAGAACAGGTCTTCAAAATTCCCTGCTTCACAGCAAAGTCTATCAAATATGCTAGGCTTGTAGGCCAGAATAGGATGCCCCAATGTTACAGAGGAACTTTGGGTGACTGTCCAGGCAGTCAGATGTTCCTGTCATTAGGTAACATTTCATCATTCTGGGGTCTTTGATGGAGTTGAAGACTAGATAGTTATAGTTTTCTTTAGTTATGATAAAAGATAAATTAGGTACAAAACTTTGTACTCACAAAGATAAGATAGATAATAGAACATTTTCTTTAATTTTGCCAAATACAAATGGACTAGATATTGTAACTGTAATACTTACTTAATAACTGTTTTTGTTGTATGCAATTTTACTATGTTAAAATTAAAACCTTTTTTAATTAGACATAAAGGGAAATGCTGTGAAATAATCCTCTTGTACACTATAAATATTTGTCACTCAAATAGGTTTAATAAAATGCAGGTTGGCTGGTAGCCAGGCAGGAAGTATAGGTAGGATAACCAAACTAAGGATGATGAGAAAGAAAAGGGCAGAGTCAGAGGAGGTCACCAGCCAGATGCAGAGGGAGCAGGAGATGAACATGCCATATTAATGAAGGTAACACCATGTAGCAGAGCATAAATAAAGAATATGGGTTAACTTAAAATGTAAGAGTCAGCTAGTAATAAGCCTGAGCTATCAGCTGAGCATTTATAATTTATATTAAGTCTCTGAGTCAGTTATTTGGGAGTGAGCGGTCAGGTCAGGAAAACTCTTGACTACAGAACCCACCTCACAGAAATCTGAACTGAAAGTGTAGAAAGAAGGGGCACTAGAAGTCATAATCAGAGCTTTAAAAAGAAAGTCTGATATGGAGAGAAGAGGCTGCCTGCATGCTTACTGGAAGAATCTTAATCTAACCAGCAAAGCACCAAGAGAGACTTCCACATGCGCTCATGAATTCAAATCTAGGCCTTGTACAGAAGGGAAAAAAGGGGGAAATATTCACAGCTTAGATAGTGAGAGGGTTTATCCTCTTCTAGAGGACTTGACTCTTCCCACTGTCCCTCCATTTGGGTGATTTCAATTTCTGTCTGGCTCAGATTTCATTCTTCAGGAATAGATATGATCTGGATATTTAAAAGGTAATTGTTTTTTAATACTCTGTGCATCTAAGACATGACACTGACCCCCTGTGCTGAACAGAAGAAAGACCAATTCTTTCCAACTCTAGAAGCACCACTGCACAGAACACACAGAGAATGGGATTCCCAGGGTCAGTTTTGGCAGGTGTTTTTGGTCTTCTGCAGTGACCTTAACAGCCAGCCTCCCAGTGGGGAGGGTAAACTTGGTTTTCTTCTCACTGGTTCTCAGCAAAACCTCTGTCCTCCCTCTCCAGTTAAAGATAAAAAGGCTCTTTAAGTCACTGATCTCTACAGACACCAGAACCAGGAGGGCCTGTCCCTGCCATGGCTCTACTGCCCAGGGGGAGAGACTCCTATCATTCTTTCCCAAGGGACTGGCATGGGCCTGACGTGAGTCACAATTCCTTTCCTTCTATAAGTAGAGGTAAGGACTGAGAGTCTCCACTCAGAAGCTCAAATGATTCATACCAAAGGCAGCCTGCTGGTAAAGAATAAATCCACTAAAACAAGTTGAGCTGTAATCCCTACCTGAGTCAGGAGGGCTCTGGGTGGATGGATTAATGGCTTAAGAATGGTTCTGTCTCTTGTATATGTCCCTCTCACCATGTGGTACATACCCTGTGCCAACTTGGGACTCTTTAGAGCCAAAAAGCCCTCACCAGATGTGCCCTCCTCCTGGCCTTGGACCCTCCAGCTTCCAGGGCTTTGAGATGAACAAACCTTAATTCTTGTATTTTATGTGCACTGGTGTTTTGTCTGTGTGAATGTCTGTGTGAGGGTGTTGGATCCTCTGAACCTGACTTTTCCAACTTTTGCAAGTAGGAAGAGGTCCCCAGAGCCTATATAACGTTCATGGCCTCTGCGTGGGCCCACTCCTCCCCTATAGTTCCAGTGAAGCCCGGGCCCCATGCAGACCTCTGACCTTTAGGCCACGCTGGAAGGTAGAGATGGACAGCAGGGCTAGGTCCTGCTGCTCCTCGGCATATCGCACCAGGTACACGTAGACGAGCTTCTTTACCTAGGAGAGAGCACGTGTCCTGGCAGGTGTCCCAGCAGCGGGTAGCACCTTCACCTCCCAGGATGCCATCGCTACCCCTGCATGCACTGTGGTTCATGGGGTCAAGGTCTTCCAGTAGGGGACAGCAGCCCTGAGTGTGTCTCCAGTCCTCTAGCCTGATTCACATCCGGTTCAGGGACATAAGGACAATGTCCTCTGGGTGAGGGACAGCTTGAACAGGTCAAGCCCCCAAGGGTTGGATAGATTCCATCCTTTCTCTCAGCCCAGCTTGAGTTTAGTCCTGGGCTGGGATCAGAGGCCAGTTTCTGAACGGTGCTCACCTCTATGTTCTTACAGGCCACATTCTTCACCACGGCAGGGAACAGGTCTGAGGCATTCTTCCCCCGGGCGATCATCTGAATGTTGGGGTCAAACAGGAAAAGAAGGGAGGGGGGGCAGAGCACCGATTAGAGCAAAACCTGATACATACCCAGGGTCACTGCTCTTGGACACCCTCTTACCGCCACAATCCTCTTCATGGCCTCCAGCTTGAGGGAATCCTTATTGGTGTCCAACATCTCTTTCAGGTCATCATGCCTGGTGGGAAGCACAGAAAGTCAGATGAGGAATGGAAGTGGGGCATGGATCACCAGGGTCCAGGCAGGACTCGGGCCAAGTCCAGTCCAGAGGGACCAGAGCCAGGTGTGCGGGTGGGGAGTGGAAATGGGTTACCTACAGATTAGGCTTTCAAGAGAAACATGTGGGCCAGCCACTATTATGGGTTGGATTGTGTTCCCTGGCCAAAAGAAAGGATGTTGAAGTCCCAACCCCTTAGTGCCTTAGAAATTTGGGAAACTGATTTGTCAGCAATGTGGGTAGGGAAGATAGTTTTGTAGCATAAAACCCTAACTGGGTTTTCTAGAAACCCAGAACCAGATATCGGGGTAAATGCTGAAAGATCAGAGAGACAAAGAAGCAAGCCACAGTCACCTCTCACCTCACCAACTCCTCTGCCAAAAGGGGGAGAGTTGGTGAAGTGTTTGCCCCATGACCAGAAGGGCCTGTTCAATCACATAAAAGCCAAGTGAAGTGGAAAGTGCTGGTAATCCCAGCACTGGGGATGTGAAGACAGGAAGGTTCCTAGGGCTCACTGGGCAGCCAGTTTAGGTTAATGTGTGGGCCTCAGGTCCCAGTGAGAGACCTTGTCTGAAAAAAAAAAAAAGTCAGGTGGATGGCTCCTGAGGAATGACACCCCAGGATGACGTCTGCCTGCCAAACACACACACATTCTCTCTCTCTCTCTCTCTCTCTCTCTCTCTCTCTCTCTCTCTCTGTCTCTCTCTCTCTCTCACACACACACACACACATACACACACACACACACACACACACACACACACACACTGTACCCCATACATACATCTAACGATGGGATGACAGATGTTTCTTGATTTTTAATGGCATTATGTCCCACAAAAACTCAGTCTAAAGTGAACGTATCAAGATGAAAATATATTTAATACACTTCCACTACCAAACATCACAGCAGAGTCTGGATCATCTTCAGTGTTCCCAGAAGTCTCTGATGGATGGGAACAACACCAAAGTATCACACTGCTCATTATTAGCCCGGGAAAGGACCAAAACTTGAAGTACTTTCTGTGGAATGCACGTCACTTTCACAACACCATAAACTCAAAACTCACAGGCTGGACCATCATCAAGTTAGGGACTACCTGTACTTAAGTTAAATGAAGCCACAGTTAGGTGGCTCCCTAGTCCAACATGTCTCCTAGTTTATTGTGTTAATTCAATATTAGACAGCTCTTGCTATGTAGTCCAAGCTGGACTCCTAACTCAGCCTGATGATTCTCCTGCCTCAGCTCCTGGAGTGCTAAGACTACTAGCCTGCACCATCACACCCAGATCCTCTGGTGTTCCCATTCAAAGAGACAGAGTCACAAAGTAAACACTGTAAAGACACAGGACTGAAGATTTTCATCTGTAAGCCAACAAATATCAATGATTGCCAGCAAGCCACTTGAATTTAGGTAGGATTCCCCTCTGGGTTTCTCAGGGAACAGGACCTTGCTAACTGTGGTGGTTTGAAAAAAAAAATGGCCACCAAAGGGAGTGGCATTATTAGGAGGTGTGGCCTTGGAAGGAGTGTATCACTGTGGGGGCAGGCTTTGAGGTCTGTTTTCTCAAGCTTCATTCAGTGTGACAGTCAGTTGACTTCTTGTTTCTTGCAAGATGTAACACTCTGAGCTCCTCCACCATGTCTGCCTGCACACTGCCATGCTCCCCTTCATGATCATAATGGACTGAACCTTTGAAACTGTAAGCACACCACCCTCAATTAAATGTTTTCTTAACGAGAGAAACATGGGGGCTGGAGAGATGACTCAATGGCCAAGAGCACTGGCTGCTCCTCCAGAGATCCAGAGCAACCACAGGGTGGCTCACAACCATCTGTAATGAGATGTGGTGCCCTCTTCTGGCCTGCAGGCATATATGCAGACAGAACACTATATATAATAAGTAAATAAATCTTAGAGAGAGAGAGAGAGAGAGAGAGAGAGAGAGAGAGAGAGAGAGAGAGAGAGAGAGAGAGAGAGAGAGAGAGAGAGAGAGAGAGAGACATGATGTCTCTTCACAGCAATAGAAACCCTAACTAAGACACTACCACGTTGCTGGGTGGAGGTGGTGAATGCCTTTAATCCCAGCACTTGGGAGGCAGAGCCAGGAGGATCTCTGATGAGTTCAAGGCCAGCCTGGTCTACAGAGCGAGATCCAGGACAGGCACCAAAACAACATAGAGAAACCTTGTCTGGAAAAACAAACAAACAAACAAAAACAATAACAAAAAGACACCACCACCTTGATTTTAGACTTTGGGCCTTCTGAGCTGAAACAAAAAGTTTCTATTCTAGGGTCTGGGATGAAGCTGCACAAAGCTCTGGGCTTGATCCCCACATAAACTGGGCATAGTGGCACAGCCCAGTGCTTAGGAATAGGAGGCAGGGGGACCAGGAGACCCTTTCCCCCCAAAAGTAACCCAGCTTGAGGCTCTTTGTTACATCCACCATAGAAAACTAAACCAGGTGTGATGGTGCACACCTTTAATCCTCACTCAGGAGGCAGAGGCAGGTGGATCTCTGTATGTCCAGCCATCACTACACAGTGAGACCCTGTCTCAAAAAACAAACCAACAACAACAAAATTCAGAGAGCCAGGGGCAAAGGAAAGGTTGGCGCTAGAGCAATAAGAGCTCCCTCGATGGATGGGAAGAACCAAGGGAGAGGAACTGGGTGTCAAAACATGGGTCGGAGACTGGGGAGATGCTCCACTAAAGTGCTTTCCAGGCAAGCATGAGGACCCGAGGCTCCTTCCCAGCATCCAGTAAGAGCAGGGCATGGGGGCAAGCGCTTGTAATTCCAGTGCTGGGGAGGCAGAAGCAGGGGGGGGTCTCTGGGACTTGCTGGCTAGCCCACCTCATCCAAGCAATGAGAGCCAGGAACCAGGGAGAGAAGCTTTGCCTCAAAAACAAAAACAAAAACAAGGTGGATGGTCCCTGAGGAAGGGCACACAGGGTAGGTCTCTGGCATCCACACACATGTGCTCACATGTGCACCTGCACAGTGCTCCCATACACACAAAAAGAGAAGAGTATGATGCTCTTTCCCCACATCAAGCATGTTTGCAGGTCTTGACCTTACAGACCAAAATGAATCCAAGAACTGGACAGCTCCCAAAGATTCCATGGATGGCCTCATTGTCCAAGGTCAGACATGTCAGTTAGCACGGAGTGGCCATTGATGAAGCTATAAAACACCACTGGGAGAAATAAAACATCTGGAAACAGCATACAGTCCAGGAGAGGGGCCAATGTGTCTGCTGTTGATACTGGGAAATAAGTGACCCACACCATGAGAAGGAGAATCTCCTTACATGTGTTCTAGTCATAGGTAAGCCTAACAGGAAAAAAAAAAAATGAGGAGGGATAGGAGCACTAAGAAACCCATGTCCCAAGAACGTTAGGCAATGTCTCTCCTCACCTGGCCTCCATGTGCACATGTGTATGACACACACAGGCACTTTCATAAACCCAGGTAAACATATACGTACATAGTGAGAAATGTCTTTTCTGAAGAGGTTTTTGACAGAAAGCAAAGTAGAAAAAGAATGCCTTCTAGAACACAGAGGCCCTTGCTAGCTGGCAGATGAAAGCATCCAGCCCTGCTCATGTTAATTCAAAAGGCCTTGGCCTGGGTGGATGGCCCCAAGACCAGAACATTTCTGGCACTCTCAAAGCAAAGACCATAAGACAACCACTTTGTGTCTCTCATTACTGTTATAGTAGTTATTTCTTAAGAAACAGTCCTTCCTGATGGCAGACTTCTTAAGACTCAGAAAGTATCTGAACCTTAGAAGATCAGAAAATAAGACTCATCAGGTCCCCTGCAAAGTTACCCAATGGTTACCATCTTGTAGAGAGGAGACTCTTCCACAGGACTAGCCAGAAGTGTGCAGGGGGCTCCAGGGATCCGGCTTTTGTCAACTCTCACCCATGCTGGAGCAGACTTTGCAGTGATAAGGCTGCCTCTGAGTCACCCATGCTCCCGTGGGTAACTGCTCACCCACACTCCTGGAATTCTCCAGCTCACTGAGCTGGACTTAGGTAGAACTGTCTCTTTGGACTGTCTTTGGTGCCACATCTGGGGTGAACCTATATCTATACATGTCACCCCAGGAAAGGTCAGACAGCGCTCCCAGACACAGACCTGGTTTTCAGTTCCTCAGGGGCATTGAGCTAAGTGTGGACAGAAGCACAGACTATTTGGCTGGGCATCGGCAGTACAGAGAGTCTTGGAAGCGGACAGAGATGGGGCTTTACCAGCTTACCAGCTTTCCTGATGCGTAAGTGTGCGCTGCTGTACCACTCAAACATACACTCCATGTTTAACTCACATACAAGTACCACACACACATCCACCCCTGTGGATATACCTATACCCCAGAGACAGAGAGCTATACCCCACACACATCCCTCACAGACACAAATAACCACATACATGAAACTGCAGACACATACCCACAAACCCCGGAGAAACACACACAAAACCATACAGCATCCTTCCACAGACACACACACTCTCAATGCAGAAACCCCCAGACACATTTCACCTGCACAACTATGACTATATGCCACAAGAGACCACTCCACACTCCCCCACACAGGCCCCTTACAGTCACACACCACAGCCATATCTAATACATACACAATCTTGACAAATTTGTTCACTGCAGGCTCATTCACCAAAATGGCCAGGGGACTTGAAGACCCATGAGAGGATCCTCTGACCTCCTGGGGCCTAACCTGGTGGGGTGTGAGGTAAGGCAATGGCCTGCAGTGGACAGAGCGGCTCAGTCTCCTTTAACTCTGTCTTCCCTAGAAGCTGACTGCTTCACACCTGGGTGTCCCTGCCAAGCCCCAAATGTCTCAGGACCCTGTCAAAAGCACACACCCCAGGGCATCCCCCCACAAAACTGATAATGCACTCTAGGCTCTTGACGGAAGTGAGGGACACTGGGTA